CATTTAACTGTGTGACTGTTAAAAAACGTGTGGATGGTTAACTTGTTGCAAGTCTAAACAAGTCATCTTTCTGTCTTTAAGTAAAAGTAATAAATAAGTAAAAAATAATAAATACGTTCTATTATTAACTTTTATAAGTTTTTAGTTAAGTATACTGTCTGATACAATTCAGAAAATATCCTGTGTCAAGCATCAAGTGTCAAGCGTGGTGTTTATATATCTTTGAAAGAACCCAACTTAAAACCCTCTTTATTCAAAAACGTTTTCAACTGTTCACTACAKAGAAGTTCCAGTTCATGTTCTCTSTCTRGTGAAAGAGCAAATTTATCAGGGCCTYCGCCACACCCTCCTACMCCTYGTTGACTCTTGTAACCTGGATGAACCATGAACTCATAMRCATTTTCAAGACCAGGGGAACATTGAACTGTTAACAAGGCATTTTGAATTCTTTGAATGTTCATGTCMTTACCCATTGTGCTCATCCCAACAAAATGTGCAGGAAAACTAAAAAAGTGGAAGACAAATTTGATTAAATAGAGAAAGAGAAAGACTAGARGATTAGTGTACTTATGGAAAGGCATTAAATTTWAGCAATTTCTTTTTGTTTAAACTTTTAACAAAAATTGGTTTTTCCCAAAAACTAGATGTRCTTTTACCTAATTCCAGCTCTTTCAAAGATGTCATAGGATTCTTGYGCATCTTGAATAACTGACAAATGAAACTGTTTCCTAGATGGTTCAATCCATGAGCATTTTTCTAGGAATTCTGATGGGTTTCTTGTCTTGGTAATATTAGCTTCTTTCATAAGCTGACTCAAAATGTCTGCAATTTGTGGTATAACATGARCATGTTGGTGTCCATCTACATGAGTAGGAAGGTGTCCAACATTGTCCTGAAACCATGACAACTGGGCYTTGATCTCTGTCTTGATCTGTAAGATAAGGATGATAAAATCTATGCTGCCTACTAAAAATTTAAATCTAAAATTCATATATGTGTGTGGGGACCATTTGGGATGTTGCACGGAAGCCATACATTGAAGCAATACATTGTAGCAGAGATTGAAACCTTATTGAATGTCAACACACTTGGTGTTCAATGAAATGACCAGTTGGCTAAAGGCGGCTAAATACGAGAAACAAAAACCCTCAACTTGGTTCGAAACATTGTTTCTGTTCAAGTTGAGCATCGGTGTTTCTTGTTTTTCACGATGTATTTTTGTTGCATAACAAGTTGACGATGCATGAAAAAATGAGAAACCTTTGATACTCAACTTTAACAGAAACAATGTTGCGCGCCAAGTTGATGGTTTTTGTATCTCGTCAAATTGTCACTATGATGTCATAAGACGTCAATATGATGTCATATCAATCTGTGTTTTTTGCCTTTTTTCAGAAATGATAAATGCAAGTTCATGGTAATATTGATACTGTAATTTGGATAAAAGGCTTCTGCAATATCGTACCTCAGTGCACTGAGTGCAGAAACCATTTAACCAGGCTAATCTTATGAAATATAGTTACCTCATTAGTATCAATCTCTCCCAACTTCAAACTTTCCCTAAAACCCATCTTTCCTCTCATAAACCCATYACTAGCTGTTAGTGTCTTGTGACCTTGTGCAATGGGARWKCCCTCAGTCAGGTTAAGATGCAAGCCCATTGGAATTGCATAGTCATGCGAWAGAYGCACAGCCTCTGCTGAACATGCYGCATTCACAAGTAAAGATACAGAGCTRACAACACCATCATTGAATGCCTTAGCAATGCCTGCATTCCTTTTGYTACAGTAACCAAAATCATCTGCATTGACAATCAGCCTCTTTGTTTGTGCATCCATTGCATTTCACACCGTCCAGCGGTTATGCTCTTCTAAATATGCGCAAGTCAGATTCAGCACCAGCTTCTTTCGGTTTTAGTTCCAGGACTACGCGGTCTGAAATTTCAAAATGGCGGACGGTATTGGGGAAAAAGACGTAGAGAAGAAAGGTGTGTTTATAGTTGGTAAAATCTCTTSTCATCGATATAGTCTTTACTTACTTAATATTTTTAATTTGAAGATTTGATTTGACATCTAAATGAAACGTTTTATTTTGTTATTTACTGTTAAAAAAGCTATTAATCTCGTCGACTTTGACCTTGTGGATGAGAATTCAGAAGGCAATATTATTTTGCTCATTTAGTGGCCTTGCAAATACAACATCGATATCTTTATAAGTTATGAACGTACAATTTGACAGTTTATTTACTGTTCTTTTCACAGACATTTATTTTTTGGGAGAGTTCACAGAGCTGCAGAAACTTATTTGAACTGTACAAAAATACAACGAGAATGTACAAAACGAATTAAAAGTGTTTCAGGAAAGTACAGCACTAATAATGAATATTTTTATCTCTTAGAAAAGTGGTTCCAAGCAGTATCATCTGTGGTTATTGGCGTCATATTTATCATTGTTGGAATACCATTATGGTGGCATACAACCAAAGTCTACAGAGCAACATTACCTTACAAAGATATAGAAATGCTAGCAGATCTTCAGGTATCAATTAACAAGCAAAAATCTACCCTGCATTCACTCCATGTGAACGTCTGAAAAACAATTAGATACAGCTGTGTTTTATTGTGTTTGTTATGAGCAAATATTTTTCATTGCAGCTGAGCTACAAAGTTCAAATAAATATTATTATACCAAATGAAGAAAGTCTCAAAACTCATGTTGGCTCTATAAAAACTACCTTGAGCGAAAGGCTAGGAAGCATAAAAGGTGATATTTATGAATGTGATTTTTGTAAACATTGTAGTATGTAGCTGTGTGTTTAGATTGTTAAAAAAAAGTTGTTTTGCATTTTTTTCAGATTTTTCTGTAAATCCATGGTTTGAAGTCAGTGTAAGATTAGAGAATGAGGAAGAAAGAGCAATAGTTGAAAATGCTATAAGGAAAAGGCAGTCTCTTAAAGGTGAATTATTGCATTCCTATTACAATAGTCCACTTCG